CGAAGGCTTCTTTCGGCGTTTGAGTTCATCCGTACGCATCTCTCCTCTCGAACGTGATCTCCTTTCTTTCAGCAGCGTGCGGCTGCGGCGAGTTTGCTCCCCTTCATGTCCATTCTCCGACCACACCAGAGGATTTTGTTTGGGAATCCCCTAAATCTCGCATACCGTCGAGCACCACTCTGGCCCTTCCCGATACTAGGTACAAACTTCATCGGCTCAGGCACATACTAGAATCGACAAATTAAACCACAAATAAAAATTAATCTAAAAACCACCACGTAAAAGTAAACGTATTGAGTGTAATTTCTACTCTCAACAATGTTTCAAGTCCTGGTATTTTAATTCTTGTTTTCATAAGCGTTGCTGCGAATGCACTTCTGCACGAGTACTTTTGTGCATGGTTTTTATGTGTACGTTGTCGTATTGAGCGACTGTTTTTGTGCATGTTTGTTAATGCTTATTCATGTCCTAATATTGTAGTTCGTGTTTACGTGACCGTTTCTGCGAATGCACTTTAGCGCGAGAAGTTTTGTGCATGCTTCTGTACTTTTACTTTTGTGCATATCTTTTTTAGTGAATGTGTTTGTGCATGATTCTTGACGCGTATGCATGTCGTTGTATTGTAGATTGTATTTTCATGAGCTTTTGCTCGAGTACTTTTGTGCATGGTTTTGTACGTGAACTTTTGTGTTTGTCTTTTTGTGCCATTGTTTTTATGCATGTTTGTTGATGCCTATTCATGTCTTAGTATTATAGTTTGTGTTTTCATGCTCTTTTTTGCGAATGCACTTTTGCGCGAGTAATTTTGTGCATGCTTTTGTAATTGTATTTTTATGAATATCTTTTTTAGCGAATGTTTCCGTACATGTTTGTTGATTACGTAATAATGTCCTTGTATTGTAGTTCGTATTTTCATAAGCGTTGCTGCGAGTGAACTTTTGCACAAGTACTTTTTGCGCATGGTTTTGTACGTGTACATTTGTGAATATCGTATTGAGTGAGTGCTTTTGTGCATGTTTGTTGATTCTTATTCATGTCCTAGTATTGTAGTTCGTGTTCTTGATTATTTTTGCGAATGCATTTTAGCGCGATTACTATTGTGCATGCTTCTGTACTTGTACTTTTGTGCATATCTTTTTGAGCGAGTGTTTTTGTGCATTTTTCTTGATGCGTATTCATGTACTTGTATTGTAGTTCGTATTTTCATGATCGTTTTGTGTATCCTATTTGACCATTTTCTATTTCGAATTGGGGAAATTTTTTTTGGACTGGAAATATAACCCATTAACTTAGCTTTCCAATGTCGCTAGAATCAGGTGATTTGGAGTTCGGAGGATAGAGATATGGTCGACATACAGGACACTGCCTAAAATGTTGCGGGATTCCTTCTTCCAATTTGATTTTATTTTATTAGTTGCAACTTTTTTCCTTTCTTTTTGATCATTTTTCCTTTGTGGACACCCAATTTTTGCATTTGCACCTATAAAACACAAAGTCTACCAATTAAACCACAAATATAAATTAATCTAAAAAAACACCGACGTAAAAGTAAACGTATTGAGTGTAATTTCTACACTCAACAATGTCTTTTTGAGCGAATGTTTCCTTACATGTTTGTTGATGCGTATTCAAGTCCTAGTATTCTAGTTTGTGTTTTCATGAGTGTTGTTGCGAATTCACTTTTGCACGTGTACTTTTGTGCATGGTTTTATACGTGTATGTTTGTGAATGTCGTTTTAAGCAATTTTTTTGTGCATGTTTCTTGATGCGTATTCATGTCCTAGTATTGTAGCTCGTGTTTTCATGATCATTTTTTTTAATGCACTTTATCGCGAGTACTTTTGTGCATGATTTTGTACTTTTATTTTTGTGCATATGATTTTTAACGATTGTTATTGTGCATGATTCTTAATCCTTACATCGTAATTCGTATATTCACAAGCTTTTTTGCGAAGGGACTTTTGCGCGAGTACTTTTGTGGATGGTTTTGTTCGTGAACTTTTGTTCTTGTCTTTTTTTGCGATTGTTTTTATGCATGTTTGTTGATGCCTATTCACGTTCTAGTATGGTAGTTTGTGTTTTCATGACTCATTTTTGCGAACGCACTTTTGCGTGAGCACTATTGTGCATATCTATTTGAGCGAGTGTTTTTGTGCATGTTTCTTGATGCGTATTCATGTCCTTGTATTGTAGTTCGTATTTCCATGATCTTTTTTTGTATCCTATTTTGACCAGTTTTTAGTTGGAAACCGGAAAAATTTATTGAGAAACAAAATGTAACCTATTGACATAATAGCTATGCCATGCGGCTAGAATCTGGTGATTTGGAGTCCGTAGAAGAGGGATATGCTCGACATAATAGACAGTGCTAAAGATGTTGAGGGATTCCTTCTTCCAAATTGATTTTTCTTCATGCACCATTATCCATTGTTTTTTATCATTTATCCTTTACGGACACCTAATTTGTTTTATATTTATACATATAAAACAAAAAATCTACCAATGAAACCACAAATATGAATTAATCTAAAAAAAAACCCACGTCAAAGTAAACATATTGAGTGTAAATTCTATGCTCAACAATGTTTGTTTCAGCGAGTGTTTTTGTACATGTTTGTTGATATGTATTCAAGTACTAGTATTGTGGTTCGTGATTTCGTAAGCGTTGTTGTGAAAGCACTTTTGCACGAGTACTTTTGTGCATGGTTTTGTATGTGTACATTTATGCAAGTTGTTTAGAGTGAGGGTTTTGTGCACTTTTGTTGATGCGTATTCATGTCCTAGTATTGTAGTTCGTGTTTTCATGACCATTTTTGTGAATGCAGTTCAGCGCGAGTACTTTAAATTTTGTGCATATTTGTTTTAGCGAGTGTTTTTGTGCATGATTCTTGATGCGCATTCATGTTCATGTATTGCAGTTCCTAATTTGAGGAGTGGTTTTGTGCATGCACTTTTGCGTGAGAACTTTTGTGCATGGATTTTCAAGTGAGCTTTAGTGCTAGTCTTTTTGTGCGATTGTTTGTATGCATGTTTGTTGATGCCGATTCATGTTCAGTATTGTAGTTCGTTTCTCCATGACTGTTTTTTCAAATGCACTTTTGCGCAAGTAGTTTTGTGCATGATTTTGTACTTGTACTTTTGGGCATAACTTTTTTAGCGAGTGTTTTTGTGCATGTTTCTTGATGTATGTCCTTTGTATTCTTGTTCTTATTTTCATGATCGTTTTTTTTTTCCTATTTTGACCATTTTCGAGTCGAATTGGGGAAATTTTCTTGGGATTGGAAATGTAAAACATTGACTTAGCTTTCCAATGCCACTAGAATTAGGTGATTTGGAATTCGGAGGAAAGAGATATGGTCGACATACAGGACATAGCCTAAAATGTCGCGGGATTCGTTCTTCCTATTTGATTTTATTTCATCAGTTGCAACTTTTCCCTTTCTCTTTTTATCATTTTTCCTTCACAAACACTTAATTTGTTATTTACACCTATAAAACACAAAATCTACCAATTAAACCACATATATAAAGTAATTACAAAAAAAAAACCGACGTAAAAGTAAACCTATTGAGTATAATTTCTACATTCAACAATGTCAATTTGAGTGAGTGTTTTGTACATTTTTGTTGATGCGTATTCAAGTACTAGTATTGTAGTTTATGTTTTATCATGAGCGTTGTTGCGAATGCACTTTTGAACGAGTACTTTTGTGCAAGGTCTTTTACGTGTACGTTTGTGCATATCGTATTAAGCGTGTGTTCTTGTACATGTTTGTTGATGCTTATTCATATCCTAGTATTGTAGTTCCTGTTAATGTTACCGTTTTTCTGAATGTACTTTAGCGCGAGTTGTTTTGTGCATGTTTTTGTACATTTACTTTTGTGCATATCGTTTTAGCGAGTGTGTTTGTGGATGATTCTTTATGCGTGTTTGTGGATGATTCTTTATGCGTACTCCTGTCCTTGTATTGTAGGTCGTATTTTCATGAGCGTTTTTTGGCATGCACTTTTGCGCGAGTAATTTTGTGCATGGTTTTGTACG